GCTTTGCGCCTTTCACAATATTTTAAAGACGCAAATTTCGATTTCCTTGAAATTCTACCTTTTGTTGTTGTTGTTGTTGCTGCTGCTTCTATTATTGTGCTTATTCTTTTTGTTTCTTTCAACATCATCAAAAAATCGGTAATCATCATTATCATCATCGCCAACGTTTGTGCAGCGTGCGGCGTCATACATATGTATATATGTACGTACATACATACATACATGTATGTATGTATTTGTTTGTATTCGCAAATTGTACTTTTGTTTGCAAAACGACAAAAAAAAAAAAGGAAGAGCGAAAAAACGAAATTCGCCAAGCAAAGCCAGCAAAAATTGTAGCAGCAGCGCAGCTTACTAAGCTTTTTATACTTATACAGCCCACTCAGTCGCTGTCGTTGTCGCTGCCGCCGGCGACGTTGAAGTCGACGTTAGCGTCGAAGTTGAAGCCGCCTTTTTTGCTCCTTGTTTTTGCTACGCTTTCGCTTTGTGTTCGCAAGCTCTCTGGTTTGCCTGCCTGCCTGCTTGTCGCCTTTGCCTGCCTGCCTGCCTTCCTACTACAACCGCCGCTGTTGCTTCACAGCTTGGTCTGTTGTTGTTTATTTTGTTGTTGTTGCTGTTGTTGTCTTTGTCACAGTGTGCGTGCGTGCTTTTTGTTCGAACGGCTTTGCAACCAAACTACTGTACTTGCCGCACCGTGTTTATTGCGTTTTATATCCTTTTTGTTGTTGTTGTTATTATTATTTGTGTTGCTGTTCGTTTGTTTGTTTGGAATTTCATTTTAAAATATTCATTTCATATTTTTACTTATTGGTTTTTGTAGCTGTGCGTCTCTCTCTCTTTGTGTGTCGTTCGTGCGTGTATGTGTGTGTGTGTGTATGTGTGTGTGTGTGGCCACCCGCACAAGGCAAACAAATAAGTACACTGAGCGAGCGACAGCGACAGTGACGTCGCAGCGGCAGCGGCACGCACTTTGCGTTCTTTGTTGTTGCTGTTGCCGTTGCCGTTGCTCTGACATCGATGCTGCTGCTGCTGCCGTTGCTTCTGTCACTGATTTGCTGCTTATTATGTCATAATTTATTTTCAACAGGACTCAGTGTCAAAGACAATGCCGGAATTTTGTACAATGAATCATTTTTGTTTGATTCTTACAAGCGCACGCACATAAACATTGCATACATACATACACACACACGCTGATACAAATGTATTTACATACATACATACATCTACATATATGTATGTTTGTATGCATGCGTGTGTGTGTGCTCTGCTACGCACTGCACCGGCTTTTGCTGCCGCCGTCGCTCTTGTGTTGTTTGTTGTATCTTTGAGTTACCTTTGTCGCATATTCTCTTCTTTTTGCATTTCCGCTTTAGGTGTTGTGTTTTGTTGTTGTAGAAGAGTTTGCCGCGGCAACGTAGTAGCTATCAATATATCTTTTATAAACTTTACTTTTGTATCTTTCGCGCACACATACACAAACACCGACAAATACGCGCACACAAAGTCGACGTTGACGCTAACGTCGGCGCTGCCGTCGCCGTCACTTAAATCAGCGTCGTCAGTAAATTACGCGCAAAAAATTCACAATTACGAGTTAATTTTTCAGTTTACTTGAAATTCTTTTTTATAACATTTTCGGTTGTTGTTGCTGTTGATTTGTTTATTTTTTGTTTGATTGGCTTTTGTGCCCGTTTGTGTGTTAGACATTGAAGATGCACGCACACACACAAACAAACACACAAAAGAGTGCGGTTGAATTACAACGCAGCGCCTAGAAATGAAACGCGGTACGCGCAAACACGTCCAAACACTTTGGAATCCATTCGTGTACTGAAACAGAGCTTTGACGCTGCTGCCACCGCCTCTGCTTGCGCACTCTGTCATCGCCGTCGACGTACGCGGCAGCGTCGCACATTGGCTGTTTTCTGTTCAGCTGTTTAATAATTTTATCATTTTTTTGAATTTGATTAAAACAAAACATAGTGCTGACTGCAACCAGCTAATAAATCTTAAAAACAAAAACAAAAGAAACACAAACCGAAGATGTATACAGTCTGTGACGAAAAATATTTAGAATTGTAATAAAAAATGAAAATCACTGGTCTGCTCCAACTGGAACAATTTATGAAATTTGATTTTCATTTTTTATTTAAAAAAAAAAAGTATAATTTTATTTATTATTAAAACAATGATTTTTGTGCAAAGCTACATTGGATACAAAATGCTTTGAATTTTGTTAAAAACATAATAAATGATTTATGATTATTAATTTTGTATTTGTTTGTTTCTTATGTTTGGAAGGAATTGTTGAATTGAAAATCCTGTGAAATCCTAAAAAATCAAATTGTAATTAACTTACATTATTTAGCTGGTAAAAATAAAATTACTTACTTTCAAGTATATGTACATACCAGGGTTAATTTCAAACATCAAGATGTGTTTCTAAATATGTGTCGTAGACCTGGACTTGACAACTTGAGGTGAGTATACTTACAAGATACACAAATTATTAGAACGTTCTCTTTTAAATAGACATGACTGTAAAATTTAAATTTATTTTAATTAACATAATTTCAATTATTTTATTTACATTTTAGTTTAGTGGACTTTGGCGATATTTGTTTGCCAATATTACAGAGCTCAAGAAACAAAGAAATTGGTCTCTTATGCTAAAAAATTTGAAACCAATGTTCAGCGCCGCAAAGCGTCTTTGGCTATAACTGCGACTGCGCCGCTAACGTCGCTGTATGCGTAAGCTTGCGTTTGCCGGCTTTGACAGCGGCAACTTTTGTTTTTGTTTGCGCCGCAAAAGAAGCATAAAAAAATTTCAATGGCGACGCTGGCGTCAAAAGCTCCGTTGTAGCGTTTTGGCATGAATGAAAGTTTGCAAAAACCGAAACAAGACAAATGGAACAAACGTTTTCAGGGCTTTTGGCGCCTCGCAGAGTTGCCCAATTGATAAAGATTTTGTTTGAAAATCTGCTTAAGCATTTATGCCGTTTCAGGGGCTAATAAGAATTTATTCGAATGTAGTAACATGAACTGCGACCGTTTGGTATAAGAATTATTTTTTTCTACGTCTTTTTATAAGAATTATAAACATATTTCCATAAAAAAAAGTAGCTTAGGAAAGAATATCACTTATTGCGTTAGTATGGGGACTAAATAAATTAATGAATATGTTTTTATTTGTAACACTGTGTATTCTATACACTTTTCAATAAGGATTTTACAAAATTAAAGATCTTCAATTTTATGCCTATGTAAGCTTAATAAGTTATTAGTAAATTCGTCTTGTAATTTTGTAAATATGTTTAAATCTTTTCAGTAAAAAATCAGCAGTAAAAAACATTTAAAAAATATGAGGCTTCTTTAATTTTCTGAAAGAATTGGGGAGATAGCTTTTAGTTCTAGATAACAAACACTCCCTTACTTTAACTATATTTTCTTACAAAATCATGAATTCGAATATAATGCTCATTATGCGAACGGATTGAGTATATATGGAGACAGTTCCAACTTAGACGGCTTTAAGTAAGGAGAATAAGAAGGCCTTTCAGGTACTCATACATATATGTAAACCCTAATTAGAGCGCCAGACTCTCGCCTAATAACAATTAATATCTTATGAGGTGATGACTTTAAAATCAATATATTACAAAATTTATTCGAACGGTTATTATAAATATTAATATTTCAGTGTTGTTATTTTTCTTAAATTCGAGCGCAATAAAATGTAATAAATGTATTATTTTTAAATTCAAATAGCGATTACTAAATAAAAATAAATGAAACTAGAGCTTGGTTTGATATCTCATTGCCAATTTCAGAGCAATTGGTCTTGGCAATGTGAAGGTATTTTGTTTTGCTTTATAATAATGATTTCGATCCATACGGATATGAAAGAAGTCAACAAAAAAAAAAGAAACGTTAGACTGAATAGTCACTCCTTGATAATAAGAAAGAAAAAAAAAACGTATTCGTTATGATTTGGTCTCAATAATAAGTTAGACCTATTTTTGAGTTAGAATTAAAGAATATTCAAATATTCTTAGTATTTTGTTCATGTGTATATTAAAATAAATACTCGTACTTTCTTTAACTTCACGTCTTCTTCTCATGAGATAATTGGTTCGCATTGCGCTTAAAACGGTATTAAAAATCACAATAAAAAATTTATGATTTTAATACTCCTTTAGAACATATTCTTAAAACCTCGTAAGAAAAGTACATTTATTTCTATAATAAATATAGGGTCTTTCTTAAGAAGGAAAAATAGTATTTCAACCAATACTGCTCAGCTGTAAATATAAAAGGTGATGCAATCTCATACTAATGAAATCCTTTCTTACGTCACTCGTGAGAATAGCAAATAGCCGTCCAAATATAGGTTAAGTATTTAAATCCTGTTCACCACCAAATACGTTTTAACTAAAGCTTCACTCAGTTCTGAGTTGAAAGAATTTTAGAAAACTTGTTACGATTTAAGTTCCAGGGAAACTTATTCGGAACAGGACGCCTACATTTAACGCATTTTCGATAGTATTTCGCATCTTTGGGTGATTACCTTGCTGTAAGACCTATCTTAGAGGAAAACTTCAAAATATCTCTGTAATTTTTATATAGTAATGTTATATAGTAAGACAAAATAAAGCCTATAGGGCGTCGGCAATACACTGTCCACCATTTTTCACCATGGTTTTTGGAAAAAGTTAATCTTAATTATTTTTTTTTTATGACTAATAAAATCCGTAACAATTTTGGGAATCGGAACATGTACCTTAAAAGTTTTCGCCAACACTGATTTCAATTGAAGTTTTTTTGAATCTGATAGGCTGATTACGGAATGATCCGGCATGATCATCAAGTTTTATTTTATAAAACATCTCTCATCAAATTTAAGTTAAGTGTAGTTCCGAAAGAGTTAATATCTAGTCTTATTGTTTTTTCATTTTCGCATTCCTTAATCAAGAAAATCGGTTAGAGAGTCAACAGTATTTGGGCGTGTATGAATCTTTATTTAAGATCAGTTTAGTTGTGTTTCTTCAATACAATCTATTAATGGCTTTTCCTAATGCATAGTAAAGTATATTCCTTTATATGTGTCTTGCATTTTAATGCAGTATGTGTGTGTGTGTGTTCGGTGTATTTTTTAAAATTTTTTTTGCAATCTGTTTTTACAAATTCAGTTTTCATGATTTCCGAAATTGCTTGACTATTCCTTTAAATTGATTGAATTGCCTCGTAATTTGAACTTCTAGTCAGAGCCCGAGCGGGGCGAACGCGTCGCCTGCTTCTTGGACTTCTTTTGCTTGCGTTTCTTCTCGCGATGGCGTTCCTCACGACTGCTGCCACGACTGTTGCGTCGGGCGGCAGCGGCCACTGCCGCAGCCTCATCCTGAGCGCGCTCCTCCTCGAGCTTTTTGAGCGTCTCGGCTTTGAGTCGCTCCAGTTCCTCAAGTTCTCGGGTGGTGCGCTCCTTTTCTAGATCGTCAAGGCGCTGTTTCTCTGCACGCCGCTCCTCCTCCTTGGCAATCTCCTTGCGCATATGCTCCTTCAGCAGTAGAGCGGCCTCGGCACGTTTCTGTTTCTTTTCAAGTGCCGCCTTTGCGTCTCGATCTCTCTCACTGTCCTTGCCATCAGAGTCGTGAGCGTCGCGCTCGGCACCGCTGCGATCTGCGCCGGGTGGTGCACGCAGAGGCAGCGCTGAAGTCAGCTTCGGAGCGCTGCGATCAAGCGAGCGACGGCGAGACCTGGGGCTGGGACTGCGACGACCTTTGGGGCTGGGACTGCGACGAGCTCGGGGGCTGGGACTGCGACGAGCTCTAGGGCTGAGACTGCGGCGGGATCTGGGGCTGAGACTACGACGGGCTCTGGGGCTGGGACTGCGACGTGAGCGAGGACTCGGGCTGCGTGAGACGCTGTGACGACGACGACTGCGTGAACGCTGCTGACGCCTGTCGCGATTACGATCTGGCGATTCATTACGGCGCCCACGACTGTCCGCACGATTCTGTGGCGGCTGACGTCGGTCCGGGGGCGAAATGTGCGTCGAAGTGCGTATGGGCGAGAGCGGAAAACGATTGCGATACTCATTGTCTACGGAGCGCGAGCGACGACGGCCAACAGCAAACGGATTGCGTCGATTACGATTCATCATTTGAGGTGGACGCCTCATTAATGGCGAACGTTGCTGCCGGCGCATGGGAGAACGGCGACGTTCTCGCGGGGAACGTGAGCGTTCGGGTGAACGCTTGCGTGAGTTTGAGCGCTCACGAGAGCGTGCATTTCGTTCCTGTTTGCGTGAATTTGAGCGCTCGCGAGAGCGTACATTGCGCTCCTGTTTGCGTGAACTTGAGCGCTCACGAGAGCGTGCATTGCGCTCCTGTTTGCGTGAGTTTGAACGCTCACGAGAGCGTACAACACGTTCCTGCACGTTTCTGCGCTTCGATCGCGAACGCGAACGCTTTGAGGACCTTTGCTTATCGTCCTGGGTCTTACGCTCCTCACGCTTGGGAGCAGCTGGCTCGCGTTCTCGTTCTTTTTCTCGTTCCCGCTCCTTTTCCCTATGTGCCGATTGTTTGGGGCCATGCCGTGTCTTTTCCAGCTCCTTGCTGTTGTTGACTGGCGCATTATCGTGCTCCGCCTCGCTATCTGTTTGCTGTTCATAGTCCAGGGCATTCATATCCACGGACTTACGACGTTTGCTGCTGGCTTCCTCTTTGGGTTTCTCCTTCTCCTTGTCGCGCTCCAGTTCACTGACTTTACGCTCTCGCGCATCCTTGTGCTTGCCGCGCTCAGTGTCCTTAAGAGTCTGACTGTCGTTGCGCTTGCGTTTATCGCCACTGCTGGCGCCGGTGCCGGTGCTGGTCTTGTGTTCCGGCGACTTTTCTGGTGTCAATTTGCCACCATAGGTGCTGGCATGTGATAGCTCGAAAAAGGACTTCTTTGGATCCTTGGTGGCCTCCTCATGACGCTTCCTGCGCTCCAGTTCACGACGCTTCACCTCCTCGTCACGCAGCTTCTTTTCCTCCTCCAGGCGTTCCAAATCAGACAACTTAATGGTCCGTTTCTGGGCATGCTTCCAATGCGGCGGCGTGTTGCTGCGTGAACGACTGCGTGAAGGCGTTCGAAACCGCTACAAAAGAAAATATTTTTATTTTATTACCATTTTACTCAAGCGAGATAGACAATAGTTGTACATACAAACACGCCACGCCCTTTCACAATACGCCCACTGCGAGATGTCGGTGCTTGTTTTTTAGACCAGCCGAAAGCATTGCGATTACGGTCACGATCCCGATCCCGATCACGTCCACGGTCTCGCTCCTTCTCCCGAGAACCATCGCGTCCATGAGTTCGCTCGGTGCGCTCTCTTGAATGCGACTTTTCGCCGCGAAGCAGATACTTATTCGACACCTGCGATAAAAATGAGTTGCTATATAAATATTTTCAATAATGGGTTCCTTAAAAACAAAAACAAAAAGTTTAGAATCAATACTAATTACAGCTTAGGATTGTAAATTTATTAAAGGAATGGGGAAGGGTTTTATGTCTATATGTATTACCTCTGGTATTTCATTTGGATCGATTTTTGTTAGAGTGACGAGCGGATGGATCTCGCCCTCCTCATCCTCCTGCTTCTGGCGCCCGTTGCCGCGCTCTATCTCACTATAGATGTAAATTTGAATCAGTAGTAAGATAATTAATACGATCATTAAAAATCAGAAAAAATAAAACAATCATGCTCTTAGCTGTGAATCTATTTCTATACATATTTCACAGATGAATTAATGTACACCTAAGTTCAATCTTAAAAATTATATTTATCTCCTACACGGTTTGTCAATTGAATTCTTCGCCTTCTTTGGTCTCACATGTTTTTTTTTAATCAATCTTAAACCCGATCACAAAGTCTTAAGGCGTTACAGTTGCGAATTATAATCAATCCTTTATCCAGTTCAACAAAAAATATAAATAGGGTTGTTTTAAAACGCCGACGAAATTAGGTGGGAATCTGATTTTAAGATTGATGATCTGCTGATTGAGAAATTTAACTGATAAATCGTGCTATGTATAATAAAATAAAAAATTAAAACTAAACCAAAACATTGGAACTATTGGAATATTGAAATTTTAAAAACAAAAAATAATATATTGAAAAATGTAGAAATACTTTTTTGATAATTATACTCATTTTTGTTACCATCTGGAAAATGGCTAATTTTCTATTTCCCTGATGATACTGCACTTTAATCAAAAAAACCTCTGATATATTGCATCGCAATTTTCTAGCTCCACAGTCCCTATCACATTTTAAAATATAATAATTGCAGATCTACTGATATTTCAGATTCAAAAACCGTCAGACATTCTGAATTAGGAAATTCCATTTTAGGGCTATACATTAAATTTGAAATTTGTATAATACGCACTTTTCGCTGTCACTCGACTTGGACTCCTTGCGTGAACGCTTCTTTTTCTTCTCCTTGCGCTTAGGCTCTGCTTCGCTTTCACTTCCTGTATCTTCTGAGGTCGCATAGCGTTTCTTCTTCTTCTTGTCTTTCTTCACTGCAAGTAAGCAAATGGATTGTGGAGTGTTAAGATAAAGTACTGGGGCAGCAACCCTCGTCTTACATACCTTTAGTCTGGCGAACCAGTTCACCACAATTGGCAATGGCCGCATCCTGCAAGGGTCTGGAGTTGCGATCAACAGGCAATTCCTCGAGCTGTTTTACTAATTCCTGACCGGAAATAACATGACCGAATACAACATGAATGCTGCAAAGAATGGAATTCAATATTATAGAGTTTAATTGCTTCTAAGGGATGGGGATAGACTTACTTGTCCAAGTGTGGCGCAGGCTGTGTTGTACTACAATGAAAAACAGAAGAAGAGAAAAATATTCTTTACACATTGGCAAACTGTTTTTTTGTTGGGAGTTGGTGGTTGTAGTAGCGGTTGTAGTTGTTTCTGTTGTTGTTGTACGTGGTGGTTGAGACTATGTTTTTGGTGCAACAAGATAAAAGATTTTTGTTTTTTGGTCTTATTGTGAAGAATGGAGACGTGGTGGCAACAAACGACAACTAGAGGACCATCTACGCCATCAGATTAGCCAGCCATCAACCATTTTCGCAAGACGGGCTGGCGGGAGATCGATCGAGCACATTGTAGACCTCAAAGAGCGTGTCCCTTTTTTTGTGCCACCGAGCAGAGACGTCGTGGTTTGCGGCCCTGGTCGTTGCTGTTCGGCTGGCCAAACACAGGCGATAGGCCCGAGGCGAGAGGAGACACACTCACACACACCGGTAGGGTGTTGGATTGGCAGTAGCCTGCAGGAGCAGTAGCAGTAGTAGTAGTAGAGGCTAGCCCTCGTAGAGGCTCGACCCACACACATTAAGCCGGCTCTGCTGGCACACTGGCGCTATCGAGGGGATCGCTGCGTGCTCAATTAATGCCGAGTCCCGAGCACGCTCATCTACAGTGCGGCAAGAACTCGCTTTTTTTTGTGACGCTCGGCTATATGGCAATAGAGATCAATGAACAACAACAGTTTTTTAAAATAGAGATTTTTAAAGAGAGCAACATTTAGTTAAAAAGATTTTAATTTTTTTTTTTTAATTTTTTGGTAGCTGCAATAAGAACTGTTGGGATTAGAGTACGGCGTGCATGGAGCAGGCCAAGACGCAACGACCTGACCACTTACATAAAGAACTGGGAGCCATTGGTGTTCTTGCCCCGATTGGCCATTGACAACAAAAAAGGACGATCGTGTTTCTTATCAAAGCATTCATCTGTAATTAAATGAATAGAATTTGAATTATATTGAGGTTTGTTTCTAAAATAACAAAAAGCATTCGTAACTTGAAATGCTGATGTTTAAACGTTTCGTATTTAGGAATTAATAATTGAAAAAAAGAGTCGAAATTAGCGGATCTAAAAGAGGAAATTGAGAAGAAGAAAGATTTTAAAGACTCTATGGGAGAGAAAATATACAAGAGTATTAAGTAGGAGTCAGTAGAATAGAATTTTAAAAAAATAAATCTCGCAGAGGGAAAAAGGGTTTAAAATGAGAGAAAACATGAAAAAAAAAAGAAGATATTTAAAATAGGAAATTGAAATAAGTTGACTATATTCTGCAGCGGAAGTTTATAGCAAAGAATGCATATTGAAGGTAAGAAGTGCAAAAACCTGTAACGACCCTGATCTTAAAAACGTTGGGAAAAGCTACAAATTCTGAAAGAGAGTTAGGCCGGTCAGCTATTTGGATCGACTTCGGAAAAAGTTAGGAAGAAGGAGCAACCAAGTCCTCCAGAATTCAACATTTACCAACACTTTTATTAAAGAAAAACTATACAAGTATATTGTACATACATATGTACATACATATATACAGCTCATTATTTGATTTCATTTCTAATCAAGCGACATTTGTAATTATTTGAAACGCTATTTGCTTGGGCTATTATTATTATCTTGCACAAACAAATAAATCCATTGATTATTGATTTTTGTTAATCGCACGCATGCACAAACACATGCATACATACATACACACACACACACTCAAACTCTTACCCTCAAATGTGCCGCCATAAATTGATTCGCCGCCAGTACCGTTACCAGCGCTAAAATCACCCGCTTGCACCATAAAATCCTTAACCACACGATGAAAAATTACATTCTTGTAGTGCAATTTCTTGCCTGTGACCAGACCATTGCCTTTTTCGCCGGTGCACAGGGCACGAAAGTTTTCGACGGTCTTGGGAGCCACATCATTGTATAGTTCGAAAACGATTCGACCGACCCCGAGCCCCCCGAGCGTAATGTCGAAGAAGCAACGCGGACGCGGTACATTCGCGTCGCGCTTATTCACCGTCATTTTTTCACAAATAGTTATGCCCTTTATTTCTCAACAATTTTTTCTTCTCGACAGACCGAAAATTGCACAATTGTTTGACGCACGCACGTTAAGTGTGACCATATAGCGGAAATGGCAAAAAAACGACAACTTACAGTCCAACAAAAAAAAAAATACTGAAAGTACCAGTAACTGTTCCTTTCATTTCCTTTTGTTTTTTTACTTGTTTTTACTTTAAAACTTGCATTAAATATAAAATAAATCATATTCATAACATAAATGATTAGATTATGAAAAAAACTTGGGTTTTAATATGACTTTCATGTTGTTTGTTTAATTTAAACGAATTTATTGATTTAAGTATTTAAATTGTATGGCAAGTGTAGCAAATTTTACTTAAGTAATTAAATAAAAATGTATGTTCTGAATATTATATTTCAACGAATGTTGATTACTCTATAAGTAATTGCACAAAATAATGTAAATATGCATAGTTTTAGGGTAAAAATTAAAATTTGATTTAAATGTTGGTATTAGTTTATCAAATGCTTAAAAGTAATTACAAATACAGATAAACATAGCTGAATCGAAGCTATAGCGACGTGGCATGAAGAACGGGCTAATGAAATATATGTATATATGTATATAGACATTTACTTAATAGAGTAAATAAAATGTATATATATTCACATTATTGGATTTATTTGAATGGGGAAGCTATATTGGAAACCATAATAAAGAAATGTTATGAGAATTTAGAAAGTGTGTTTTAAAAGGTGAATGAAAAGTTTCAACCTTTGACTTGTGAAGGATTGACATTCTGACACAAAGTGCGTTAAAAGTATTGGTGTTAATTTATGGGCAGATGCCATGTTTGTGACAGGATCAAAAATGTGCTTTTGGACAGATTTTCAGAGCATACCCTAAAAAATAAAATGCCAGTATAGATTTAGAAAAAAGATTTGAAAAACTATAGTATTTCAAAATTTAACACAACGTTTATTTAAATTTTCTGTATTTTTTACAGATAAGTTAAGTAAGATAAGATATGAAAAATTAATTAATCTCCAATCCAAATTATGAAAGGCTTGTATATCTCTGGCGCATTTTTTGGAAAGAAGTGTTATTTTCGACTTTTTTCCTAATAAATTAATATTAAAGTGGGGCGCTTTTGCCAGGCGATAAAGATAAAAATCTGAAATTAACAAAATTTAATAAATTTTGCTTTAATTTTTTACCATAGATATAATAATAATAAATTATTACCAACATAGATGCAAACTTCAGAGGTCTTCCACAATAAAACTATTATGACTGTACCGATAAGACTGAAATAATAATAATATTAAAAAAGAAATAAAATATTATAAAAAATTAATAGGAAATATATGATTACTAAATATTAAAAAATTAAAAATACCAACAATTTCACAATGTTTTTATGCGACTAGTTCGAATGTGGAAAACTTTGGTTTTGATAGAAAGATATACGAGATTTGAGGTATACCTGGTGTAAATCCCGACATTCAGTCTTCAGGGCCTTTTTAAGATATTTCGAGCCAATATTGCCCTAAAATTTCGAATAATATAAAGGCCTGGCGGCTGTGAAAAGTTATAAATCAACCAGAATGGGACTATATCTGCTCTGTGAGTGAAATTCGACCAATACTTCGTCACTTTACAGCTTGATTCTTTCAATATTATTTTAGATACTTCAGTTCTTTCATTATACTCTGCAAAAAAGTTAACATTTCCACTTGTAGACTCAGGCCATAGCGCTGCCTACTAACAATGCTAAAAAGTCCATATTGATAGAATATCATAATTGTGGATATAATTGAAAAAAGTAGTTGATAATTTTATTTTTTAATTGCACGATCATCAGAAGTTTACCACAATAGTTTGCTTTGCAGCTCAGAATGCTCAACATTGGGCTTAAAGACGAATATAGAGAAGACATTGAAAGTGTTGCGAAAATGGTGCAAGTATAAAAGTTTGAAACTTATAACTAACTGGTGAGGATATATGTTTGTAGTATGTATAAGCATTAAGGTATACAAATATATAAGTATAGTGTATTTCAATGTGGTAAATACTTTCGGCGAACGAAAATGGAATTACTATTATGGAGTAGCGTCCGTTTATTCCACAGTAACGGACTTGGCCAGATTGCGTGGGCAGTCCACATCGCAGCCACGGAGCACGGCAATATGATAGGAGAGGAGCTGGAGTGGGATGACAGTCAGGATGCCCTGCAAACAGTCGACGGTGCGGGGAATTCCCAGGGAGCGGGTCGAGAAGGCCATAGTCTCGGCATCGCCCGCCTCACAAATAAGTATTGGCCGACCCTTGCGGGAGGTGACTTGTTGAAGGGCATTCATGCACTTGGTATATACCGGATCGCGTTGCACAATCATTAGCACCGGCATCTCATCGTCGACCAGCGCCAGCGGACCATGTTTAAGCTCGCCAGCCAGAATGCCCTCGCTGTGCATGTAGGTGAGCTCCTTAACCTTCAGGGCGCCCTCCAGGCAAGTGGCAAAGTTATAGCCACGTCCCATTATCAGCAGGGATTTGTGTTGGTAGAGCTCTTTGGCTAGCTCCTGCACCTCCGAGTTCAGCTGGAGCACAGTTCTAATGTGATCCGCGAGCTGCGAGAGTCCATTTATGATTTCGAGACGTCGCTGCTGCAACGACAAACGATCCTCGGACATGACAAGCGCAAACATCACCAGCGAAATGAACTGCGATGTGTAGGCTTTGGTGGAGGCGACACCAATCTCTGGGCCAGCATTGATGTGCACGCCACAGTGGGACTCGCGACAGATACTGCTGCCCACTGTGTTGGTTACGCCCACAATCAGCGCCCCCCTCTGCTTACAATAGCGCAGAGCCATCAAAGTGTCCGCGGTCTCACCCGACTGTGAGATGAAGAAGCACACATCGTCCCGAAAGATGGGTGTGTTGCGATCTAGAAAATCCGAGGCCAACTCCACCATAACGGGCAGCTCGGTAAGCTCCTCCAGCAGTTGACGCGTCGCCACAGCGCTGTGATACGAAGTGCCGCAGGCAATCAGCATGAGACGGCGACAACGTTTGATTTCCGGTATATATTCCTTAATGCCGCCCAACACGACGGTCTGGGTGTCGAAGCGCATCCGGCCACGCATTGTATTTACCACCGACTCAGGCTGCTCGAAAATCTCCTTTAGCATGAAGTAGTCGTAGTTTCCCTTCATGATCTGTTGTATCTCCATCTTTAGTGTTATAATCTCTCGGGCATGCGGATCATCGGAAGACTTGTTCAGACGATGTATACTCAATATGCCATCACGCTTAACCGCAGCCACATCGTCATCCTCCAGATAGATGACTCGATTTGTGTGCTCAATGACGGCGGAGGCATCAGAAGCAAAGAAATATTCCACCTCCTTGTCTTCTAGTGGCTGAAATTCTGCGCTACAGTCGGCGCCGGCGGCAGAGGGCAAAAGCTGATACTGCTGGCCATGCGGACGATGCGCCTTGGCATAGAGAATTGGCACATGATCGGTGGCCAGCTTGTTTTTGGCCTTAATTCCCACCAGCAGCGGAGAACCGCGTCTCGACGCGACACACTCGCCAGGAAAGTGCTTTGACTTGAAGGCAATGGCAAAGGCGCCCTCCAGCTGTTGAATCGCCTGCTCCACTAGTTCGCCAAATGTATAACCAGGATGCTGCTGCCACAAATGATGCACCAGCTTCGCAATTACTTCCGTGTCCGTTTCCGATTCAAAAACATAGCCACGTTTCTCTAGCAATGTCTTCACATCCTTGTAGTTGGTTATAATGCCATTGTGCACAACCACAAAGCTATTGTCCTCATCACTGCGCTGCGGATGCGAGTTAAGCTCCGACGGCACGCCATGGGTGGCCCAACGTGTGTGCGCAATGCCAATATGAACGTTCACCGCATCCGCATAGCCAGTACCTTGACAAATCTCTAATATGGCATCCTCCAGCACCTTCACCTTGCCGCTCCTCTTCACCATAATTATGTCGTGTGATTCGCCAGGCGCGTCGATGGCCACGCCCGTCGAGTCATAGCCGCGATATTCCAAGCGCTTCAGTCCCTGCAACAACAAATCGAGCACTTCCTGGCGCGTCTTTGGAGTCAAATAGTTGAGGTAAGCGAATATGCCGCACATTTTGCTGCAGCTGAAGAAATTCTAGCAGTAGAGGCCACGTCAACAGATCTGCAACTGCGTGTACGCTTGAATTGAAAATAAGCCAAAGCCGCAAGTTGTTATGTTAATGTTAATTTACGACGTTACGTTGCGCACTTATCGCAGCACTTCCGTGGAATTATTCTCCCGAGATAAAAAAACAAAATGGGAAAACCTCACGTCTCTATTTCTGCCGACGCCACGCCACCCACAGCACTTAAACAGCTGACGTGCGCAAATGTAAACATTAGCTTTTTGGGCATGATTTAGTGAGCTAAGTACACGGTGTGCCAATAAACATTAAACAATTTTTACTCTCACGTACAAGTGCGAGAGCGTGCAACCAATGTGCTCGCTCCGCTGTTTCTGCAGTTGTTTATATTGATATTTTATTGTGTTATTTAGTAAAAGCGCAAATTGCTATGCATGTCTGACCGTAGCTTAACTTTGAAGTATATTATATTATTTAAAAATCACTTCGTACACTCTCTAGCTCCATTTTATGACGTCAGCCAGGAGAACATAGATTATCGTACTTGCGTTACCGTGTTGTTACTATTACCATTGATATTAGGTACGCAATTAGGTATACAATTGTAATTGCGTGCGTGCATTTGAATTACATAATTATCAATAGTGTATATGCTTTGCAAAATGCATATTTACAAACATCATAATTGAAACCAATTGAATATGTTAATTCTAGATAGAATGCCGGTAGTGCTGCCATTTGTCGACCCACATTGCTTATAGAAGTATGGCAGGGCATGCGCAACGGCGTGAAATAGTGCGAAATCAATGGCTTCGTTCTTTTCGAAGTTTCTTGCGACGGCGTCAAAACCACATGTCTGCTCGGTGTCCGAGATTTTTGTAATTTTTCCGCAAAATTATGCTGAAAAGTAGTGTGAAAACATATAAATCAGCTAAATAAGCAAACGGGCGTAAAGTAACAACTGAAATTCATTGCAATTTGTGACAAATCGTGCGAATTAATTGCATCGAGAAGTAATAACGTCGTGTATTGAAGAACTCGTGAGCGTGTGTGATTGTACGTGAGCAGTGCGTGAGCGGTGTGCGAACGAAACCGCAAAACAAAGCATACGACGAAACAAAAACAACAACACACTACCTATACATATTACATGACATACACGCACGTGTGCTGGTACGTGTGTTTGTGCGGAATAAGCAAAAATAATTGTGTACACATTTTTGTTGTTGTCTAACAGCACTAGCTTTGCGATTTCATTTGTGTTGGTGCGTATTAAGATTGTTTATATTCTAAATGTGTGTGTGAATGTGTGTTAATTGGTTAGCCTCCCACAAACAGCTGTTCCCTGGCCAGGGCTGCACTATTCGTAACATTGTAATTGCATAATAATAGCAAATCAATCAGATCTTTACGAATGTTCATTTTAGAAACGAATTCATTGCTGTACCTGCATTTTAGTTTACTATTTTTGTTATCAATTACAACTGTTTCTTCTTTCCTCTGTCTTCGACTGCACAGTCGCATTCAAATACCAACCGTTTTTAAGGGAGATGGCAACGCCAACACAGCGCTGTCAACGCTTGTTGCTCTTTATGCTCTCGTTTCGTTAGTGTGGGGGGCAATCGCTGACGCCTTAACCTCACTTCTGCTGCATAATAATATTTCAGCTGGTCGCCTCACCACCGTTTGTGTCGTCTATTAGTCGTGCTTCATTTAGCGCATATAATGCAAGATTTCTTCAACGTGTTATAACTTTAAGCTTCAGAAATCAGTTTCCCCCATAAACACAAAGAAACGAATTCGCCAAAGCAGCGTGAAAATTTCCATAATTCGTACGCGATGTGCATGATTTGTTAGAGTGCGAATAGAGGAGTGTCGAGTGTGTGGAGGGCGGCACCATGAAGCATTCATCAAAGCAGTTGTAGGGCAGAGTAGAGTGCATAACGCAAGCCTCAGGAATAAGCCGGAGAATTTTGGCATAGATATAGTGCATTGCGAAATCGGTTGTGAAATTGCTATAACAAGTTTCTGCGTAGTGTCCTCTAAAAGGTCGAAGTGCAAAGTGTGGGTGTTCTGTATGTTTGTGTGAGTGCGTCCATTACAACGCAAACTAACTTGATTACGTTTGCTCTTTCACTTTTTAGCAGTTACAAACAGGACAACACATTTCGCCATAAATATCGTTCGGATTCGTTGACATTGTCTGCACGTTGAGACCAAACACGTGACTAGGCAAGGAAGCACCAAAGAGTTTCCATCAACAATAAACGGAGCGAAGCAGCAAGAAGTGGTACCTAACCTAATAACTTAGGAATAATATTAACAACAACAACAACAGGAATAGGAGTAACAACGGCTGCAACAATCTGGAGTAGATTACGCTACTCTGGTTACGCCATCGCCACTGAAGCACCAGCAATAACAGCAGGAGCCTTAAAAAAACACGCTCGGCATGTCCAGCAAGGAGGAAACTTCAACGAGTGGCGCCCCCGTCGCTGTCGCTGTCGCCGCTGCCACCACCACGTCATATGCCAATGTAGTGCAGAATTTGGACAGCAAGAAGTCGGCAGCTCTGCAAGATGTCGTCGCAGCTGTCGACAACAAGGAGAATCAACCCAATTTAAAAACTTTGAAATCATGGAGTGAGGAAACAGCTGCAGCCGAAGCTGCTGGCGAGACTGGACTATCAACAACTGTTGGCCTACCGTTGACCACCGGTGAGAAACGTGCCGCTCTCGGCACAGGCGACAATACTGCGGAGAACTCTTCGGAAATGGATGATAATAATGATTTTGTGCCTGTTATTTCGCATCATCGACGGGATCGTAAGAAGGCACGCAAGGATAAACCAACGCCACGTGAACAACGCGTAAGCGCAAGTGGCACTGGTCAGAAACAACAGCAGCAACAGCTGAGCAGCAAACGCAGCGTCAGTGGAGCTGCAGGAACTGGTGCCGGGCAGGAGTTGGGTGAACGTAAACAAAATTCACGCCAACGTCCAGCACGTGGTGGTAGTCCACGCAAAACAGCTGCAGGTGCTCAGACTGCTGGAGGTGCAGGTGGCGGTAGTGGTGGTGGAAAGATACAAAGGGATCGCAAGCTGGACGCCTCACCCAGCGCTAGTCTGGAAGCGACTAGCAGCGGCAATGAGGCTAAATCTGGCGATGGAGATTCCCAGACGCTCAGCACAACGGCGCCGTCACAACCCAAACGCTTTGTAGCGGCCCCGCCGCCAAAGGTCAACGCTTGGAAGGTGAGTGTCCTAGATTTGATTTTTCTTCTTTTTTTTTTTTTGAGAAATAGCCAGCAACCCCAAGCTTGGGAATTTCATACATTCCGGGTTTTTCCTGCGCTTTTACGAAATGTGTATGCACATTTGTTGTTCTTTCAAGCTCAATTATCGCTGTATTTGATGTTTTACTTTTTCTTTCAACACGTTTTCTTGGGCTGAATTGCGTCTCAAATTTATGAAATGAAAAACGAAAACAAAAACCGTTTATGTTGTTCACTGCCTTCACAAACCCACACACACATCTAAATGGGTATGTATGTATGTATGTACATACTTATGTTTGTTTATTTGTGTGTACAACAAAATAGTAAACAAATGTGCGTAGAATGAGAGACAACAGGCAAGAAGCGGGGCAAGCAGCATAACAAGTGATAAAGACAACACACAATTCAACATGAAAACACGTTTATCTATTTTCCTCGTTCATTGCTTTTATTGTCAAAGCAAGACTTGAGGTTTGAAAACAAAAACCGCAAACACCCCCAGAGATACCTTTTTGTTTTCTTGAAGTGCTAAGCAATTATAGCAATTTTTGGTTCTGCGGTTGTTTGTTCTTTTTAGCATTGCAATTGTATTGCATAATATGCATTTAAAAACACACAAGAATACACACAAAAAAGACAACATTTTTTGTGTATTATGCAATACGCCAACGCCGGCACCTCAGCCAAAACACACGGCCGTCTGTTGTTATTGTTGTTGTTTCTGTTGCCTTGTCTGTATATTTGCCCATTCACTTTGCACTCTGTTCTTTAATACCGTTCGGTACTCTTCCTCTTTCTGCCCATGCTGTAATTCAATTAGACAATTTCGTTGGCATTTAATTACTTGGCGAAAGGAAAAACAATAAAACATTCAATTGCCTTTGCATTTATTCCATGCTATGTATGTACATACAAGTACATTTGTATGTATATTCTTCCGACAATCAAATGAGAGAAAAAGTACAAAATTGCGTTTAAAAATAAATGTCAAGGTCAGAGTTGTCGTTGTTGCCATCCACCATATTCACGCACCATTCGTCATCTTTGGGGTCCGTTGCTCCCCTTTCGCATATTATAAAAGAAAATCGTCAGTTTTTGTCGATGCTACAGATCCAGAAAAAAAAGGAAAAACGAGGTGTGGCAAATTTTCTTTGTTACGGTAGTCCAAATAAAATGAAATTCTAATGCATTTTTGTGTGTGACGCTTTCGTGAAATAGGGCTACCTGTATTTTTCTTCCAATTAGAAACTTATTTATCGGAATTATATGGGCATAAGTGAACTTCAAACTCCAAAGCATTACATATGATGGGTAGTATATTGTTACAGGTTTGAATAATGTTGAAATATGACTCATCTTCGAATATTACCAACTTCTATAGGGAATGTTTACCGTGGCGAAGTAGAATCTACAAAGTCTATTCTTGATAAACTTTGACTTGCGTTTTAATTCTAGAATTCTAGAATCCGTTTAAAGGATGAGTGTTTTAGAGAAAAAAATGTGCACCTCACAATATAAAATGATAGGCACTGTTGTTTTACAATATTTTTGGTTATTTTATTTCGAGTTTTCATTATAATACATATTTTATTTGTTCGATTTGGATTTAGAATTTCGTAGCATGAATATTCAAATCCACAGTACATTTCTAAATGTTTACTTTCTAAATTCTATTCCTATCAAAGCTGACGCAAAAAGACGATTAAATCAAAAGTAAAATTGGCAATTTAAAGCATGCTTATAAAGGAATGGAAATAAATGTTTAATATCTCTGTATCTTGCTTTATAACAAAATCTATTTCTTCCATTCACTTTTTGATACTTAAATCAATATCAGTAGCAAAATAAAATCCAACGAAATTTCCATTTAATTCTCATTCTGTACATATATACTTATGTTATGCAAGACATATGCAAATGGGGTTTTAATTAAATTTAAAATGCGCAAAACTCTATTGTTGATAATTTTTAATGCGGATTGTGCACGTAATAACTTCATTTTGTGTGTTTCCTACCCTACATCTAAAGGGGAAAAAGGTATATTGCTTTTATTGACAATAAATGCAACAACTAAAGAGGAACAGAGAAAGAGGGCGTTTTAGTTTAAAATTTTTAAAAAGTCATTCATTTATTGATTAATGTGATATTAATTGTCTGCCGAAGCAAAATTAGTTTATCTTATTCAATACAATTGCCTTCCAACTTAATACAATATTGTCATTTGGTGTACAATGGTGGTTCAAGCCTTTTGTATAACTTCGACGTCCAAATAGAATTTTTTCGTTCATGGAAAGGGAATTGCTAAAAAAAAATAGTTGTACGAAGACAAAACTGGAAAATGTGGGGACTGTTTGCGGGTTAAATTAATTTTTTTTGTCAAAAAATTAGGCAAAGTGTCAAGCTAGGAGAGGGCGCATTATCGCCAACTACGAATACGATATGCCAGATCTTTCAAAACACCCACATTAAACACAGCTTTGACCGTTTGGCAAGGTGGAACTGATTCCCGATGACTAATTACCTTCGAATCGTAGAAACTTATGACTTCTCCAAACTTCTAGCTCATCTGTTATTTTGACGGTTGGTTTTAGACGTTTCAGACGGTTTTGGTTTTGTTTTCGACTCGTTATTGACATCTTTCGAATGTTGAATTCTGTGCAATATTTTTTGGTCTTTTTGTGCGATAGCGCGGCTTCTATTCATCTGATTTTTATTAAATGGTGCCACGATGTGGATAATAGATGTACCTAAGTAACGCAGTCTGAAAGAAGTCTGGGATGGGCTTTTCCATTTTATAATTATGTATACGTATTTCTAAACCTTTTTAAATCTGCCATATTTGCGATTGGTATTCAAAAGTTGGTAGATACACTATATTTGAAATTCTATGTTTAAAGATATATAAAAAACAGTTGATCCTTAGAACCTTTTTTCATGAATTAAAAATGATAATAATTAATTATGTTAGTGTATTCCTTTGTCGAGCTGATCTTACAGCTCTTACCAGTTTATATTTTATTATTCATTTTGCATACAGGTTCGTTGCTACTAATACGAGTATTGTTGGTGGTTTGTTTTTTTCGTTGCCATGCACTGTGTTTGTTAATTTTGTTGTGGTTGCTGGGTTTGTTCTTGTTTTAAATGCCAGAAAAATTATTGCACTGCAGCGAAACAAATTCAGGAGACGGGTAGGAGGAGGCCAGTCTGTCGTCTAGTTAGTCAACCAGTTGACGTGTGCCGCTCAAGTGCTTGAAACGTGTATGGAACCGAGAACTGCGACTGTGTTACATACTATACAGCCAGCCATACAGCCCCCATCGTCATTAAATTTAACGCTCTGCAATTTTCCACAGTGAAGCGACAAGTGCGACGCATTCAATTTTATAAATTACAAATACCTTTAAAACTTTATGCAAGCGTGCCAGGCCATACGAATACATCCGTCCATAAGGCCCCGAGTTCTCTTCCGTTATTTGTTATTCAAATCTTGGCCAGTGGCACATGTGCGGTTCCCCACGCGAATTTCTACACAGTGAATGTTAATAAGTGTGGTGGATATAGGAAGATTAAAAAAACTTATAAAAATCTAGCTTGTTGCGAAGTGCTTAAAAATAAATACAAATTAGAATAATCAAGATATACGGAAGGCGGCAGAAGCGAAAACTCGATAAACTTGTTGATAGCCAACAAGTGGGAAAAGTGCGAGTGTTTCCGTTGCCTCTGGCTCTCTCTCGCTCTCTCGCACTCTTTCGCTCTTGGATTGGCGGTGTGATTGTCGCGATATTTCGTATACGACCTGTGTGGCAATACCGTAGAGTAGAGTTGATTTGTCAAAGTTTGTTTAACAAAAATATAAATAAACATAATATAACCACCTGGCAGCTCTTCAACGATAAGAAATAATAACAACAACAATACTTGGAAATGTCAGCAGCAACAACAACAACAGAATCAGCAACAAACATGAAAACGAAAGTAAATATTTGATCTCAATTTGATGAAAATATGTACAAAAGTACAATTATTGTCATGCGTTTATTTATAAATATACTATATGCCTACTAGTATTTGTGTAAATGTGTCAATATTCTAAATGCGAAGCATACAAGTATATGCTTATGGTACGTATACACTCGTGGACAAAATATTAGGTGTATAGCCTAAAAATGTTTGAGATCTCGACGGAAACATGTACACAAATATGACCCTGAGAAATCTAAGCGGCTGTTTCCATACGGACAAATCTTTGTATTTTTTAATGGGCACTGTTATTGTCTACCGAGGCACGTTTCCATTTCATTTTCTTCATTGCTTACTTATGCGGTGAATTCAAAAATTTTCGGTAAAGTTTTGTGTAAAGAAAATGGAATTATTTTGCAATTCGTTACCCCTGATATAATCGAAACAGTTATGACACGATTGAGAAGATTAAAGCCGAGTCAAGAAAAGGGTTCTTGGACTGATTTGAAGATTGGCAAAGGCATTGGAGTATGTGTATTGCATACAGAGGGGGAATACTTTGATGGCAATAAAATGGATTTTAATGAACAAATAAAGACTTTGAAACTTATCATAAATGGTGCAGGTCATATTTGTTGACAGAAATACAACCAGTTTAGTTAGTTCCACTGCTATGGAGTTAAGCAGCTGGAAGAATATTAGGAACAGCGTCATCTCTCACCGAAGAATCTAAATCTACTATGAATATTGGATAATATTCCAGTGATATATTATGAAATTATGTTGCATTTGCATTCAGAAAGACATTTGTTTGCAATATATTGTATTTGTGGCCACCATCTGAAATGTCAATGTCCAGCAGAGTTTGAAAATCCCTACATTTTCTTTTTTAATTAAATAAAATCCATACTGAACTGTGCATTATAAATACACTCTAATGCCATATTTTGGAGTGCATTCCTAAATGCGTAGTTTCATTTGTTTATTTTTAGCACAATGCCAGCAAACTTTAACTAG